CTCCCAGGCTGGGGTACAGTGGTATGATCTCAGCTTACTGCAACCTCTACCTCCCCGGTTCCCTGCCTCAGCCTCCTGCGTAGCTGGGACTATAGGTATGTGCTACCATGCCTGGCTAATTTTTGTATTTTTAGTAGAGATGGGGTCTCACCATGTTGTCCAGGCTGGTCTGAAGCTCCTGACCTCAGGTGATCCACCTGCCTTGGCCTTCCAAAGTGGTGGGATTACAGGCATGAGCCACCATGCCCCACTGAGATAATACTTCTTTTCTTCTCTTTCTTTAGCATTTCAGTCTTGTATCTTCATCCATTTGTTATAGTCCCCTATTTATAAAAGAGAGCATTCTTTAACCTATCAGAAAAATAAAAATTATTGTTTGATATCTTTTATTCTCATCATTTTCACTTTCTTCTCTTTCTTTCCCTGGGCAATGCCTTATACTTGTTTTCTGCCTGAGTCTCACATCCCATTTTCACCATGAGACCTACCACCAGGTTCCAAAATCCATATGCCTGGAATCAAAGTGATAAATTCAGGATCACGATTTTTTTCCAATAAACTTTTGTGTTTCATATCACAGTGCTGAGCATCATTCTTGATATCTGCCCACCTGGATTTGGGTGGAAAATACTAACTCATTGTCATTCTATTTCCCTGAGTACATTTTCACATCTTGTTTGCTTTTATCCCCTTTTGGTACCTTGTCTAGGACAATAGATATTTGTTGACTAAATTAATCTTGTTTCATTAGGCCTCTCATTGGTATCTTTCTGATGTGTCCTTAAAGCATTTTCTTCACTCTGAGCTCTTGACTTTATAATAAAGTCCTGCAAGCTACAATAATCTGATGAATTATCAAATGTATTTCCTTGTTTTATATGAATGGCTTTCAGATCGACTTCCACATATATACTTGCAAAGTTAGCCAACTATGAAATTGGAGGGTACAGTAATCCATACAAGACCACCTTTACTTCTGACACCAGCTGTAAGTTTGGGGATCCCCAAGACTGCCCTTAGATTAGGTAATTTTCTTTTTTTTGAGACAGAGTCTCATTCAACCTCCACCTCCTAGGTTCAAGCTATTCTTGTGCCTTAGCATCCCGTAGCTGGGATTATAGGCATGTGCCACCACACCTTGCTGATTTTTGTATTTTTAGTAGAGATGGGGTTTCACCATGTTGGCCAGACTGCTCTTGAACTTCTGACCTCAAGTGATCCACCCACCTCAACCTCCCAAATTGCTAGGATTACAGGAGTGAGCCACCATACCCAGCTAGGTTCAATAATTTACTGAAAAGACCCATGGAACTCAGTGAAGGCTGTTATGCTCACAATTATGGTTTGTTACAGGAAAAAGATTAAAATCCGTCAAGGGAAGAAGGACATGGGTGGAGTCTGGGAAAGCAGCAAACATGCAGTTTCTAGGAGCATTCTGTCTGTGGAGTCAGAGAAGCAATCCTGGCAACACTGTGTAAGGTTGCATACAGAGTACTGCCAACCAGGGAAGTTCAACCCAGCCTCAGTGTCCAGAGTTTTTATTGGGGCTCCACCAACTAGGCCTGATTACCCACATGGCTGAGCTCAGTTTCAAGTGCCTTAGGAAGCTGAGCTAATGCTTGCTGTATGACTCAAAGTTCTTTTTTTTTTTTTTTTTTTTTTTTTTTTTTTTTTTTTTGAGACGGAGTTTCGCTCTTGTTACCCAGGCTGGAGTGCAATGGCGCGATCTCGGCTCACCGCAACCTCCGCCTCCTGGGCTCAGGCAATTCTCCTGCCTCAGCTTCCTAAGTAGCTGGGATTACAGGCACGCGCCACCACGCCCAGCTAGTTTTTTTTTTGTATTTTTAGTAGAGACGGGGTTTCACCACGTTGACCAGGATGGTCTCGATCTCTCGACCTCGTGATCCACCCGCCTCGGCCTCCCAAAGTGCTGGGATTACAGGCTTGAGCCACCGTGCCCGGCTCAAAGTTCTTACCCTAAATCACATTGTTACTGTTTGGCCAGCCAAAGACTCCCTGGCAAACAAATGAACTCCTATTAGCCATGATGACATTCGAAGGGCTTAAAGAGTACCACACTGAAACTGAAGTTAAAGTTTAGACACTGTGTTTGGCAAGGTTAAATTCTTTACCACGCAATATTATGTCATTTAGCTAAAAGATCATGTTTCATTTCCTCCATGAAATACCTTGATTACTGTATAGACTATATCTATTTCTTTTTTATGCATTCCCATTCTACTTAACGTCTATAACATGAGCAAACATGTCCTCTGATATGATCTAGTAATTTGATTCCTAATTCAACATTGTTTTATATGACATTTCTTTCTCCATTTGGTTAATTGTTTCCCCAAAATAAGATCCTCTCTTTTGTCTTTCCTTACTGTAGCTTGTAATGGAGGCCAGGTATTCAGTAGTTATCTTTTTGATTGTCGTACCATGCAAGGAAAATATCTTTCTCATCCATTTAGAAATCATTTACTACTAAGTTCTTTTTAGGTGTACCTGCCAATATTGTATCCCCTAATCTCAGATAACAGTGTGTAAATGTTTACTCAGAAGATTTTAGAGAATATTGTCAATAAAATATTGACCTATAAAAACATGAATTTTAGTTAAGAAAGCAAATATTATCAAATTGTGGACTTGACATAGAATGACCATGTTAAAATCCCAGGCTGTTGGGAAATATTTTGAAGTGAATGTTCCAGACCATAATTATATTACAATTTCAAACAGATGGGATACTGAGAGGCAGAAAAACTATGTGAAACCTTAGCTGGGAGCAGCAGCTCACTTCTGTAACTCAGCATTTTGGGAAGCCAACGTGGGTGGATCACCTGAGGTCAGGAGTTCAAACCAGCCAGGCCGACACAGTGAAATCCCATCTCTACTAAAACATGTTAAAAAAAAAAATAGCAAAATGTGGTGGCACGCGCCTTTAGTCCCAGCTACTCAGGAGACTGAGACATGAGAATCACTTGAACCTTGGAGATGGAGGTTGCAGTGAGCCAGGATTGGAAGGAAGGAAGAAAGGAAGGAGAGAAAGAGAGAGAGCAAGAACTATGTGAAAGCTTTAAGAAAAATTGGCTAGTAGCATATAAGAAAGAAAAAAAAGAAAAAAGACTGTGAAAGCTTTAAGAAAAAATGGATAGTAGCATATAAGAAAGAAAGAACTGTGAAAGCTTTAAGAGAAATTGGATAGCAGCATATAAGAAAGAAAAGGAAGAAAGAAAAAAGAAAAGAAATGAAAAAGAAGGAAAGACTATGTGAAAGCTTTAAGAAAAATTGGATAGCAGCATATACTTGGAGGTGTTTGAAGTTCTTAGGGAGACAGTGTAACTTCAATTAGCAATACTGTTTAGTTTTACATAACCTAGAACTGCACGTAAGTGGAATTGTATATGTACTCTGTTTCATAAAGCTTATAGTCTGCAAAATATTTGAGATTCATTCCTGTTGTCATTGTGTGTCAGCATTGTTTCTTCTTATTGTGAGGTAGTATTCTATTGTATAATACATGACACAGTTTTACCTGTTAATCTTTTCATGGATATTTGGGCTGTTCCCAGTATGGGCCTATTATAAATAAAAATGTAAATCATAAATGAGATTAATTCATCTTTAAATTGCCCTCCCAAATATGTGTCGTAGTAAGGCAACAATAGTAAGATATACAAGAATTTATTTTTTTAAATAGTAAAGATTAATCAATGCTCTGCACATACATTGAATAATCCAGTCCTTTATAGCTCCAATAGGGAATAACAGAATTAAGGTGTGTAACTGTATTGGGAGGAAAACTCAAACCTATTCTTCCCTAAAACTGAAAAAAGTAATTCGGCAAATTGAAAGAATGAAGCTAGAATTGATGGTGAGAACAATTTCATTATTGACCATCTCTAGCAGAATAAATTGATGGCAACAGCAATCAGAATACTACAGTGCCTGGGCACTGTGGCTCATGCCTGTAATCCCAGAACTTTTGGAAGATCACTTGAGGCCGGGAGTTCGAGATCAGCCTGGGCCACATAGGAAAACCTCATCTCTACAAAAAAAATATAAAGATTAGCTGGGCATGGTGGCACACACCTGTAGCCCCAGATACTTGGGAGCCTAAATGGGAGGATTGCTTGAGCCCAGGAGATCAAGGCTACAGTGAGCCAGGATCACATCGGAATAACATCACTGTATTCCAGCCTGGAGGACAGAGCAAGACCCTGTCTCAAAAAAAAAGGAAAAAAAAAAAAGAATTCAAATACACACACACACACACACACACACACACACACACACACACACAGAGAGAGAGAGACACCAGTGATTATATTCATGTTGGAAATATATTTTGTCTTTTGGTGTATTTTATAATTCCTCATGGGAATATGTTTTCTAGATTCTCTGCTTTCAAGAGAAAATAAATTACAGTTATATGGACAGTTAGGGCCTAGACTATAGACTAATGCTTCTGTAAACACTAAGAAAGGAGCTGGAAAAGTTCATTTACCATGCATAGGCAAAATGGAAGTGAAGAAGAAAGAACTGGAAGCATTCATAGCACTTATTTAGGTGTGAGGGGATAAATGTGTAGCTTTTCATCTCTTTATAAATATTTTTTTTGTCATCTTGCTTACTGTTCAGTACCCTTGGTAGGCTTACTTCAGCAGCTCTGAATCCTCCATGCCAAGGACAATTCCTCTTTCATAATTCTTTCTCTTCTGCTCACTCATCCTTGTTTCTTACACCTTCTCAGTGCAGCTTATATTTATAACATGCCAAAGGTATGAGTGTTTTTTGCTTCTGCCAGTTTTTCTTCATTTTAACAGTGTAGCAAGAAGTGTATTTATGTTTATACATTTTCCCTACCAAGAGGGAATTTATTCTGGCCTTTTTGTAGATCACAGTAGTGAGCTAGTCTCACCATAGTTTGTCTGTATGTACACCCAATCCATAGCATTTATGTGCAGACTTACAGTGTTAATTGTATTCTTTTCTAGAAGAAGATGGGAAAACTGAAGATGTCTTAGTGAAGTTCAAAGAATACCAAGACAGGCATTCTAGATCCCTCATACTTATTAACCACAAAAAACTAATTAAGGAGAGAAGTAATATTTATGGTAAAACACTTACTCTAGGCAAGAACCATATTTCAAAAACAACCCTATGTGAATATAAACCTGATGGAAAAGTTTTGAAAAATATTTCAGAACTAGTCATTAGAAATATAAACCCCATAAAAGAGAAGTTTGATGAGAGTATTGGATGGGAGAAATCACTTCACAATACTAAGCATGAGAAAATTCATCCTGCAGTGAATCACCATAAACAAACAGAAAGAGTTCTCAGTGGTAAACAGGAGCTTATTCAGCATCAGAAGGTTCAAACTCCAGAGCAACCATTTGATCGTAATGAATGTGAAAAATCCTTCCTGATGAAAGGAATGCTGTTTACACATACTAGAGCTCACATAGGAGAAAGAACCTTTGAATACAATAAAAATGGAATTGCCTTCATAGAAAAGTCAAGTCTCAGTGTCCATCCAAGTAATCTTACGGAAAAGAAACCCTCTGCCTGCAACAAATATGGGAAATTCCTCTGCAGAAAGTCTGTTTTTATTATGCCTCAGAGACCCCAAACAGAAGAGAAACCCTTTCAATGTCCTTACTGTGGGAATAGCTTTAGAAGGAAGTCATACCTCATTGAACATCAGCGAATTCACACAGGTGAAAAACCTTATGTTTGCAATCAATGTGGAAAGGCCTTCCGTCAGAAGACAGCCCTCACCCTTCATGAGAAAACACACATAGAGGGGAAACCCTTTATTTGTATTGATTGTGGGAAGTCCTTCCGCCAGAAGGCCACCCTCACTAGACATCACAAAACACATACGGGGGAGAAAGCCTATGAATGTCCTCAGTGTGGAAGTGCCTTTAGGAAGAAGTCATACCTCATTGATCACCAGAGAACTCACACGGGAGAGAAACCGTATCAGTGTAATGAGTGTGGGAAGGCATTTATCCAGAAAACAACCCTCACTGTGCATCAGAGAACTCACACAGGAGAGAAACCCTATATTTGCAATGAATGTGGGAAGTCCTTCTGCCAAAAGACAACCCTCACTCTCCACCAGAGAATTCACACAGGGGAGAAACCGTATATTTGTAATGAATGTGGGAAGTCTTTCCGCCAGAAGGCAATCCTCACTGTTCATCACAGAATACATACAGGAGAGAAATCCAATGGCTGTCCTCAGTGTGGAAAAGCCTTTAGTAGGAAATCAAACCTCATTCGACATCAGAAAACTCACACAGGAGAGAAACCATATGAATGTAAACAGTGTGGGAAGTTCTTCAGTTGTAAGTCAAACCTAATTGTCCATCAGAAAACTCACAAGGTAGAAACCATGGGAATTCAGTAAGTAATGTGACTTTTTTTTGTAAAAAAATTTTTAAGTCATAGTAAACCCTGTACATGATGTTGCTTGCAATTGCAGTAATATCCAACAGTTTAAGGTACTATACCACATGGTATCCTACTGTTTGCCAGCCTATAAAACACACACACACACACACACACACACACACACACACACACACATTATTAGACAAATTAGATGACAGAAATCATTTAAAAATCCAAATTTTTTATTACTAGCTTCAGCAGACAAAAACTTCCTCTGTCCAGGTATTATAAACATTTAAAATCACATTTTCCATTTCAATACATATCTTTCTGTTAAGCGGTAATAAATAGTTGGCCAACTGACTGTGGTCCATGGACTATACAGTGAGTAGACATTCTTTAAAAGAAGAAGGCATGAACTGTATTTCTCATTGCAAATACAAAATAAAAATTAGTTGTTACTGCCTCACAGTTGACCATAATTCTGACTTCTAACATTACAAATTAGTTTTTATATATTATAAATCATTATGAATCACGTATTCTTTCATATACAGCTTATTACATTCATCATGTCCCTGAGTCTGATCATTAGTGCATGTAGCAGAAGTTTATTTATTTTTATTCAATATAGAGTTCTGTTATATGATTATATCACAATTTATCCATTCTACTGTTGATGGACTTTTACATTGTTTACAGCTTAGGGTCGTAATAAATAATGCTTCTGAGAACATATTTGTCTTGGTGTACATACATGCATTTCTCTTGTGTATATACTTAGGAATGGAATCGCTGGGTCTTAGAACATAATGTGTATTCAGTCAGATACTGCCAGACAATTCAGAACTTTGACCACATGAGATCACACTGTAGGAAAGCAGCTATAAGTTTTATCAATATGTGCTGGTTCAAACCAGAGAATTCATGCTAGAGGAAAAAAATCTATCGATGTTATTGTGAAAACTGGGAATGTGAATATAATATATATATAAAGGCTTTCAGCCAGAGCCCAAATCTTCCAGACAAATGTAATAAATGTGAGATTGCTATTAGCCACAGCTAATGCCTTATTTGAAAGCAAAAAGTCGACCAGAGAAAGAGAAGCATCCCACATTTTCCTTATTCAACATCAGAGAATTCCAACTAGAGAAAAGTCCTGTGAGTGTGTTGAAGTTGGGGCATGGGGAGGAATATGGTGTTTACCCATGGTCTGCATCTTACTGGTCAAGTACAAATAATGAATATGGAAAAGCTTACAGCCCTCATTCAAATATTATACTATATCAGGGAATTCACATAGAATGAGAACTCTTCATATGAAATGATTGTAAGAATGACTTTAACTGTTGCTCATTTCTTACACAACATCGAAGAATTAATACTAAAGAAAGGAAGATTAAAAGGAAACAAATGGGGCTGGGGACTTTTAACTCTGAGGAAAGCTCCCTTCTGTGAAAGAAGTCTAGCCATACCAAGACTATAATGCTAGCAAGTCTATGTGTAAGGCACCCTGGTCAACAGCTGGAGCTGAGCTCCCAGCCATCAGCTAGCATGAGCTGCCAACCATGTAAGTAAGCGAGGCCTCTTGGACATCCAGTTAAGACTTCGGAGGACTGTGGACCCTTCAAACATCAAACTGGAACCACAAAAGAGACTTCAAACAAGAACTGCCCAGCTGAGGTCTTCCAAATTCCTGGCCAGCAACCAACAAAATGGTCAGGCTTTTTAACTAAAAACATTTTTTGGTTTTTTTTTTTTTTTTTTTTTGAGGTGAAGTTTTTCTCTGTCACCCAGGCTGAAGTGCAATGGCATGGTCTTGGCTCACTGCAACCTCTGCCTCCCTGGTTCAAGCAATTCTGCCTCAGTAGCTGGAATTTCATGGGCCTGCCACCATGTCTAGCTAATTTTTTTTTTTTTTTTTTTTGAGATGAAGTTTCGCTCTTGTTGCCCAGGGTGGAGTGCAATGGCTTGATCTCTGCTCACTGCAACCTGTGCCTCCCAGGTCCAGGCAATTCTCCTGCATCAGCCTCCCAAGTAGCTGAGATTACAGGCATGCGCCACCACTCCCAGGTAATTGTTTTATTTTTAGTAGTGACATGGTTTCTCCATGTTAGTCAGGCTGGTCTCAAACTCCCAACCTCAGATGATCTGCCCACCTCGGGCTTCCAAAGTGCTGGGATTACAGGCATAAGCCAGCGTGCCCAGCCAACTAAAAACAGTTTTATTTTTTATTTATTAAAAAAGTTGTAGCCGGGCGCGGTGGCTCAAGCCTGTAATCCCAGCACTTTGGGAGGCCGAGGCAGGTGGATCACGAGGTCAAGAGATCGAGACCATCCTGGTCAACATGGTGAAACCCCGTCTCTACTAAAAATACAAAAAATTAGCTGGGCATGGTGGTGCGTGCCTGTAATCCCAGCTACTCAGGAGGCTGAGGCAGGAGAATTGCCTGAACCCAGGAGGCGGAGGTTGCGGTGAGCCAAGATCGCACCATTGTACTCCAGCCTGGGTAACAAGAGTGAAACTCCGTCTCAAAAAGAAAAAAAAAAAAAGTTTTTATTTAACTTAATTGTTTTATTAAAAGAGAAAGTAATTTTTTAGTATCTATTAACATATAATAAAAATAAAGGTATAAGGCTGTGCTAGGTGGCTCATGCCTGAAATCCCAGCACTTTGGTAGGTGTTGGAGGATCACTTGGGCCCAGGAGTTCGAGACCAGCATGGGAAACATGGCAAAGCCCCATCTTTACAAAAAATTAGCCAGGCATGGTGGCACATTCCTGTAGTCCCAGCTACTCGGGAGGCTGAGTGGGAGGATCACTTGAGCCTGGGGGGCAGAGGTTGCAGTGAGCCAGGATAGCGCCAGTGCACTCCAGCCTGGGTGACAGAGCGAGACCCTGTCTCAAAAATAAATAAATAAAGGTAAAAATATTTGGATTCTAGAGTCAGTAAGCAAAGATACAGTGATTACTACTAGGTGATTTTGGCGTGAACAAAAACTGGCCATAAAATACAGTTGAAGATTTGGCTGTATTTTTGGCTTACAATTACATACCTTAATAACAACTCAATTGAGGGGTTCATATGTGTTCTCTCGCATTTTCTGGCACTAAATTATATTCACATACATCCCAATTTTGCACACACAAAAAAATGAATATAGCCCCCAAAAGACCAGCTGCAGATAATGCAATCCATCCTCAAAAGACCCTGTGCTATCATTTCTCATGAAGTTCAGTTAACAAAAGAGCAGAGAGAAATCACATATGAAATCTAATGAATGTCCATGAAAAAGGTACTTTCGAATGCTTTAAAGAAAGTCTAAATGAAATTGTGGTTTTATTATTTTGTTTTGTTTTGTTTTTTGTTTGTTTGCTTGTTTGTTTGTTTTGAGACAGAGTCTTGTACTGTAGGCCAGGTTGGAGTGCAATGACGCGATCTCGGCTCCCTGCAACCTCCTCCTCCTGGATTCAAGTGATTCTCCTGCCTCAGCCTCCCAGGTAGCTGGGATTATAGGCACCTGCCACCATGCCCGCCAATTTTTTGTATTTTTAATAGGGTTTCACTGTGTTGGCCAGGCTGGTCTCGAACTCCTGACCTCGTGATCCGCCTGCCTCAGCCTCCCAAAGTGCTGGGATTACAGGTGTGAGCCACCATGCCCGGCCTTTTCTTTTTCTTTTCTTTTCTTTTCTTTTTTTTTTAATTCTTTTGTTTACTTCAGTTTTATGTGGAATTCTGTTTTGTTTTGTTTTGTTTTCAGACAGTCTTGCTCTGTCGCCCAGGTTGGAGTGCAGTGGCACGATCTTGGCTCACTGCAACCTCCACCTCCCAGGTTCAAGTGATTCTGCTTCAGCCTCCCAAGTAGCTGGGACTATAGGCACATGCCACCACACCTGGCTAATTTTTGAATTTTTAGTAGAGATGGGGTTTCACCATATTGACCAGGCTGATCTCAAACCTCTGACCTCAAGATCCACCTGCCTTGGCCTCCCAAAGTGCTGGGATTACAGGCATGAGCCACCACACCTGGCTTCTTTTTTCTTTTCTTTTCTTTCTTTTTGAGATGGAGTTTTGCTTTTGTTGCCCAGGCTGGAGTGTAATGGCATGATTTCAGCTCACTGCAGCCTCCACCTCCCAGGTTCAAACGATTCTCCTGCCTCAGCCTTCCAAGTAGTTGAGATTATAGGTGCCCACCATCACACCTGGCTAATTTTTTGTATATTTAGTAGAGACAGGGTTTCATCATCTTGGCCAGGCTGGTTTCAAACTCCTGACCTCAGATGATCTACCCACCTTGGCCTCCCAAGGTTCTGGGATGACATGAGTGAGCCACCGTGCCTGGCCAAAGTTGTAAAGCTATTCTAAAGCTATTTACTTATAAGCTGCTTCTCCTTAGGAAAATTTGGTCCTGTGGTTTATATTTTGGCATGAAACAACATTGGGCTATATTCCAGAATCCTGCTTGAAAATTTCTTTTGAAGAAGTCAGAAATTTTCTTTGCTTTTTTTTTTTTTTTTTTTTGAGACGGTTTCTCATTTTGTCACCCAGGCTGGAGTATGATGGTGTTATAGCTCACTGCAGACTTGAATTCCTGGACTCAAATGATTCTCCTGCCTCAGCCTCCCAAGTAGCCAGGACTACAGGCGTGTGCCATCCCACTCAGTTAATGTTTTATTTAATACATATTATACATATGGGATCTTGCTGCATTGCCCAGGCTGGTATCAAACTCCTGGCCTCAAGCAGTCCTCCCAGTTTGGCCTCCTAAAGTGCTGGGATTACAGGTGTGAACGATTTCACTCACTTGAGAGATTTTTCATGTTATGAATTGATAAATACAGCATTGCATCACTTAATGGGTGATGCATCATTAGGCAGAGTCACAAATGTGTAAGCATCACAGAATATGGATACAAACCTACATGGTACAGACTACTACACACCTAAGCTATATGGTATAGCCTGTTGCTCCTAGGCTACTGCATGTTACTGTGCTGAATACTATAGCCAGTTGTAACACGATGGTAACTATTTGTATATGTGAACCTATATATAACCTAAATATAAAAAAGGTACAGTAAACATATGGTACTATAATCTTATGAGATCATCACTGTATATGCATCATGGAACAAAATGTCATATGATGCGTGAGTATTTTTCATCCAACTTCTCCATTGTTCAGTGAAGTTTGGGCAGCTCTAAGGAGCAAACATGGTTATGGACTCTAAGTCAACTTGGCCTAAATAAATATGACAAAATAGAAGTGATTTTGCAAATTCATATTTTGTAGACCTGACTGCAAGGTCATAAGACATATGCATTCATCAGTTCAAAGGACTAACAAGACTTCACAGAGCATACCCAGAAAATGCTTTTGCTTAGAAGTAAAGGATGTGGCTCAGCAAAAGAAAGGGAAGGTAAGCATTGGGGCTTAGAATCATCTAGGGGCATGTTCTTCAGTGGTTTTATTCATACACAGACTGCACACTGTCTCTGAACTGAACCACTAAGAGCTGTATGAAGCTTGGTTTGGGGAGAGCTTATGGCAGGACTTCTTGGCACAGGTTTTTTGTTTGTTTGTTTGTTTGTTTTTGAGATGGAGTCTCTGTCGCCCAGGCTAGAGTGTAGTGCCGCAATTTCGGCCCACTGCAACCTCCACTTCCCAGGTTCAAGCGATTTTCCTGTCTCACCCTCTCAAATAGCTGGAATTACAGGCATGTGCCACCATGACCAGCTAATTTTTGTGTGTGTGTGTTTTTTTTTTTTTTTTTTTTGAGACGGAGTTTCGCTCTTGTTACCCGGGCTGGAGTGCAATGGCGCGATCTCGGCTCACTGCAACCTCCGCCTCCTGGGTTCAGGCAATTCTCCTGCTTCAGCCTCCTGAGTAGCTGGGATTACAGGCACACGCCACCATGCCCAGCTGATTTTTTGTATTTTTAGTAGAGACGGGGTTTCACCATGTCCACCAGGATTGTCTCGAACTCTCAACCTCATGATCCACCCGCCTCGGCCTCCCAAAGTGCTGGGATTACAGGCTTGAGCCACTGCGCCCGGCC